AAATAGGTGATCCTCTGCCTCCTTGGTGCAGGTAGGCATCATTTATGTCAGGAAGCTCTACCCCAGTGCTTCCACACACCTGTCCCCACACCCAGTGTTCCTGCCGCATCTCCTGCCTGGCACTGGCTTTCCCACCACTTCTCTCTCTTGCTCCCTGAGAACAAGGTTCTACAGACTGCTGGTCCTCAGTAACCCAATAGCTAGGTAGCATCATAGGAAGTGCTCAAAATATACCTCCAGAATGAATGTTAGAAAAAATACCTTCTGAGTACAGGATCCGTAGCAAAGGCTATAATACCTAGTGGTTGGTTGGGCATTTCCAGGGCAGGTCACATGCTACCAGGTGATTTTGTCATTACGCAAACATGATAGAATACCCAGACCTGGGTGCTATAGCTGACATCACACCCGGAATGTGGTATAGATAGCCGTACCGTGGTGTAGAGGGTCCATAGTTGACCAAAATGCTGTTATTAATGGGTATATACCTTCATATTCATGATGGTCTGTGTAAGGAACCCTCATTCTTGAATCTATATAGGAAATTATGTGAAATTGGCTGGGAGGATCCTTCCCAGTCCATTCTCTGCACAGGTGTATAGACAGGCTGCAATGGTGACATCTGCCCCAAAGCAGTCTGTCTAAACCATCTAGACAACCCGCACTCCAGTTCCTCCGGTGTCTGCAGAGCTCAATCTTGCTGCACTGCCTCTGCCTATGTCTCGTCTCAGACACCCGGTCCTGGTGTGGCCACCTACACCTCCCTGCTCTGTTGTCCTTGATAAGCGTTATGCATTCTCAGTTTGTAGGCATCTCATTGAATTGTAGTCACTGTATGTCTTCCGTGAAGGGGTGGCAAAGACAGTGTTATGCAGCCAGCAAGCATATGCTGAATTAAAGGTAGACTAAAGCCCGAGAGATTGGGAAATCGGGGAGGAAAACCAAACTCTAGTCTATTTCAGCTTGTTTGTACATGGCAGGTGCTTGACAAAGACCTGTAGGATGATGACAATAGTAAGAAACGAGCGTGCTATTTTCCATGTAGAATCATGGACCTCAGTGAATACAGGAGTAGTTCAAGGTATGTCAAGACAGTACTGTCACCAACACAGTAATCCGTGTGCCCATTGGAGGCTACATTCAGCTAAGCTTTCTGACTTGCATGCAATAGGATATGAATTGGGAGTAGGATGTTTACTGCAGATTGTTTAAAATCAAGTTTTATTAACTTACAAAGCTATATACATTTCAGAAGTACATTACCAAACTATGTATTCTGCATGTGGAAACCTCACCTACACCAAAATTTACTGCACATCCCTTCCCACTATCCGGTTGATGCCCTCTGCCCTTCCCTCCCCCCCCCCTTTCTCCTCTCCCTTTGGTAGCCACAAAGCTTAATAGATTCTAAGCATTGTTGTTCTAAGCCTCATTACTTGTTCATTCATTTGCTTTGGTTACTCACATTCCACACATGAGAGAAACCGTTCCATAACTGTGTTTCCCTGCTGCCTTGTTTCAGTTAGCATAACCACCTCAGGGTCCACTCATGGTATCACAAAAGGCATAACTGTATCTTTTTATGGCTGAGTAGTATTCCAGTGAGTTCCACCACACTTCTTTATTCAGTTATAGAGTGATGAGCATTTAGGTTATTTCCATGTCTTAACTATTGTGAATACTGTTATTCCAACACCTGTATAAGAAGAACATAGGAAGTAACCAAAATCTCTTTCAGGAAGGGAATGTATAAAGATCTTGTGGTATATTTGTATTATAAGTAAAGTAATTGTAATGAATAGACCAGAGGTTGAAATTTTAATATGGTGTTAAATCTTAAAGCCACGAAAGTAAACATTAAGAGACACTCTTAAGTACACCATATATTCCTAGAGGCACAGTAAACATAAACATAAAATCATTAATGAAGATGACACCTAATATCCTCAGAATGGTTGTTACCCTTAAGAAAGGAGGGCTAAGATGAGATGGAGGAGCTCTTGATTTATCTGTAACATTTCATTATAACTAGGATGATAACATTGTATTATGATCATATTAGTTTCTGTCCTTTTCTGCTATTTTGAAATACTTTATACTCTAAAAATTAAGTCACACAAAAGAAAAAACTGGAGAATGGGAGAATGATCCTGCCTTTCCACATTCAGTCTTCTGTCCACAAACCCCCACTTTCCAACTAGCCTGGCAAACGATGTGAATCACATCTGCCACTTAGGACTCGCCAAGTTTTAACACCATTTAAAAGCATCAATTCTCAGTTCAGTCTCCAGAGACTGATAGATCTACCATCGACCTCTCCAGAGACTTCAAAATATGCATCAATATCTCTCCGTGTTGTTTATAGCTCCCATCTACCCCATTTTTTCCATGCAATGGAGCATTTATCCAACCTAGTTAGAATTAGTTTCTGCAGTAAAATTTAATAAAGTTCTCTTGCATGTGTTTCATGGGAATCTAGTGTTTTGTTTTTTTTTTTGAAAAACCCATCACTCTGTTCTCTTGATATGACTTTTTTTTTTTTAACCTTCCCAAGTAATATGTTTGTGCATTTAACCTTTCTAAAACTGCTTTTATGTTTAGGGGGTAAGTTCAGGGGTGTTTTGGATTGGGGGATAGCTGGGGACAATTGTGTGTCTCCTCTAAATTCACGTTCAATGACATCATATGGGTTACTTGGAAATGACTACCATGGGGCATTTACACCAAGGGAATTAGCAAACGCTGCAAATCAAGATGATTTTCTTTTTTTTTTTTTTTTGTTCCTCTAGAAAGCTGATGGTTAAACATTTATTAGCCTAACACTAAGGGGCATCACAGTTTGGTGAGTTCTGCAGGGCAAGTAGCATTTTCCTTATTTTACACATGTAGAAATAAAAAGTCTTCAAAGAGAGCCCTCCCTGGTGGCGCAACAGGTTAGAGTGCAGCACTATGAAGCTATCCGCAGCCACTGCAGCATAAGTTTAATCCCCGGCCAGGGAGCTGACCCACATGGCACAACAGACCTCTCCAGTCTGCCCACTGCTCCCCTCAGCCGTGTGTTCAGTCTGCCTGTTCTGCTCCCCACTCTGTCTCTGGTGAATCCTCTCACCCCTGCACCTCTGGCCTGTACCCCAGTTCTTATATGCATAAATAAATAAATCTTTAAAAAAAATAAGTCTAAAAGGGACAAGTGGACAAGTGGTCTGAGCCACAGTTCTCCAAAGAGGCCTCGCTGGGGCTCTGGTCTCTGTGGTGCAAATGAAAAAGCCCCGGAGGCAGGCAGGTCTGAGTTTGAAACTGATACAGGTTTCCCCCACAATCCAAAAGCAGAATGTGTCTATATGGTCTTATTTTGGTAAATAATTTTTTGAGTCTGGGCAGACTCAAACACTTATCCATAAAATATGTGGTAATGGTGTTCCTAAACCCAGAAGAATAGCCTATCAAGTCATACCAAGAAGGAACCGTCAACTTTCCAGTAAGCACAATTCACCCTGTGAATTGTTCAGATACCTGTCTTGGCCACTCAGCTTCCCCATCTAGGGAACAACTCCAGTATTGAGAGGTTTTGTGAGCATGAAGTGAAATGATAGAAAATGCAGACATGTAAAAATGCATAAAACTTAACAAAGAATAGATGTGGGTTAGACGTAACTGACCCTTTGACCTAAAGCTCAGATCTCCGTGGCCACCCCATCCCCCCCAAAACCCCCCCATATGGTTGCTTCACTTCACCTTGACCTGACCAGACACCTTTTACAGAATGAGCCACTGGAAAAAAGAAAAAGTCTTCGAGTTGACATTTATGTGTGAGTTGAGTGAACAGTTTTTTTCCAATACTCTTAGAAATGTGTGTACTAGGTATCAACCGGGCTCATTTTTCAACTGCCTGGAGTTCTCTTCACTGACCATTCTGCTGAGCTCAGCATCCTGAAAAGGATTGATTTGGGGGCCCATGGGCGCTACAATTCCAGCCGCCAAATGACCTGCACCGGCCTGCAGAAAAATTCTCTGGACTCTTCGCATCTATGCTCTGTGCCAACCCTCCAAACCTGGCCGTGGACAGTAGCTTCCAGGCCATGCAGCAAAGCGAAATGTACTGTTCTCTTTAGAACTTTATTCCTTAATTTATTTTTGCCTGAGTAATGCATTGAGTTGTTCAGACACTTTTTAAAAATACAAAAGCATGTACAGTGGCAATTTCCCTCCCTATATCACCAATTTCCATTGACCCAGGTCCCACCCCATAAAAACTACGCAAGGGAGGGTGCGGGGGGGAAGCTGGTGACAAGGTAGAAGAAACAACCTCTTCTTATTAGGTTTTTATGAACCCTAAATCTCTCAAAGCTATCTTACTGCAGTATCAGCCCTGCTTCACCCTTAAGTCACATGTGTGCAGATTGTGGTAAGACTAAGGAGACTGTTGAAATCGGGAATATGAAAACGATCTCATTTGGCTTGACAGTAAGTGGAAAGCAAATTGACAAGTGGTTATCCAGGGTAAAGAGAAGCTATTTTTGTCTGTAAAGATGATGGCGTATATTGTACAGGACCCATCCATCAGCGAAACCTAGTAGGTTGCCAGATGTCTGGGAGAAACACGCCAGCAAACACCTAACGCCAGTGTACACTGGATCGGGCACCGTGCTGGGCTCTCATTTTTCTTATGGTAAAAGAAGAGACACAGCCTCTATGCCCCCGGTGACCGTCTGCGTGTGGCTCAGTGGTCCCGAGTGCATTGTCCTTGTGCTCTCCAGCTCCAGAGAGTGCTGCGTGCTTTTGTCCACCTCTCTCAGCCCTTGCAGCGCCCTTTGGGGTCCTGTGCGTGTTCTCCCTGCAGTGAGGATGTTGTAGTCAGAAAGGTCGCCACTGTACATCTCACACGAAGCCACTGACAGATCCTGGATTGAAACCTGGTGTGTTCATCCCCAGCACGGATGGACGGGGCCTGCCTCTCTGTCTTACTGTGCCTTCCCTCCTCCACCCTGTGCTTTTCCCAGGGGTGATCCTGCTGCTTCTGGACAAGCTGCGGAAGATGAAGTGGGAGCAGATGTGGAGGCTGACCGCCGAGAGGGAGCTGATGGGCATGCTGTCCACGTCCTTAGCCGACCAGGTGAGTCGCTGGTGTAGAAGCCTGGGTGCCTTGGTGCAGTTTCTTAAGGAAACTTGAAACTTCTGCTGTTGGTGACTGTGAACTCTTGGGTGGGCCTGACTTACCCCTGCCAGTCTAAGACAAGACTTTAGCTCATTCCCGACGCACACTCCACGGCATACAGGACACTGTATGGCAGGCTCTCCTGAAACAGGAGTGGAGGTAGAGATGGCGGAGGCAGGCCTGGGGCTCCGAGAACAGAGTTCAGCGACGCAGATTTGAAAGTGAACAGTGACTTGGTGTGCTAAGAAGAGGTGGCCATCTTCATTTTCACATAGGCTGCCCGGCAACTGCTCTCTGAGATCCACAGGCCCCAAGATTATTTCCCAAATGAGATTTTATGTGCCTTCCTGAAAACCTGAGTCTGAACTTTCCAAGCAGAGCCTTTTGCTCAGATCCTATAAGTGTGATCCTATCCCATGGAAATGCATTTAAATAGGAGAGGCAAACCTCCTGGCTGGAGAAACCAGCTTTAGCCCAGCACACTGACAATACCCATGAACTCCATGCAAGCTCCTTTCTCATTATAACTGGGAGATGAAGGGTGCTGAGCCTTTGACCTTGGGCTCCGCCCAGGCTGGATCCCATAGATGGAGGGCTCCCTGGGGTGTTGCCGGTGACCATTCTGAAATGTCCAGATGACTCCTCTGGGCCTCTGCATCTCTGTGTCCAGAAGGGACGCACCCCCTCCATGTTTCCACCCTGATGTGTTGAATGTTTGCAAAGTTCTACAGCAGAAAATAGAACCTCTGTAGGGAGACTTTGCTATTTCTTTTTTTAGCATTGTTATTATTCAGTTCCCACAACAGCCCAAATCTCATTTCCTTCTTCAGACATGAGCATGGAATAATGAATGGGTTAAAAATGACCCAGGTAGCTGTTTTAAACCCGAGGCGGAAATTGTCCTCCACCATCATATTTTAAGCCCATGGCAGTGACTGGAGTCCGTGCCCAGACGAGAGCAGTCGGTCTCCGTGTCCAGTGAGGGTCTTTGTGCAGCCATCTGCTGCTGCCAGGGCCCATCAGTCACGGGGCTGTGCCAGCCGTCAACACGTCCTTAATAAGCATGGCTGGGATGAGCCCAAAAGAGGTGAAGCCGCCCAGGAAGTCAGTGGGATTTCAAAATCCGACACCATGGCTGCTGGAATCCGAGCCCCGCCCCTTACTGAGCCGGCCCCGCCCCTCACTGAGCCTGGCCCCGCCCCTCACTGAGCCTGGCTCCGCCCCTCACTGAGCCTGGCTCCGCCCCTCACTGAGCCCTTCCCGCCCTTCATTGAGGCGGCCCCGCCCGGGAAAATCTGCTGTATCTGAGGTTCCATCACCTGAGTGAGCACAACTTGCAACTTGTCACCTGCAGTTTTCTCTCCAAGAGGCTCAGGATGGAGGACTTAGGGCCCCTCGATGGTGGGGGGCAGGCGGAAGGGCAGTGGCGTTTATTGTGCTGACTCAGATGGGGAAGGCATCCCTGCTGGCCCTGTGCGGGACCCAGGAGCACAAGCCCTTGTGGAGCACCCCCCAGCTTTCAACAAACCAGGGCTCGGTCCAGAGAGATGAAAGGCAGGTGGGGTGCCCCGCAGGCAGCGCAGCCTGGGTTCCCCCAGGAGGCTCTTGCATAGGTAGGCAGAGTGTCCAGGGCCCGACGCGCGAGCAGAGCCTGTCTGACCATTGGGACCGTGTCCTGGCTTTTATTCTCCAGGATATTTTCAATGCCGTCATCAAGCAAAACCCCTTCCTGGTGTATCAGCTTCCCTGCTTCTGGAACGTGCAGCTGTCGGACCACACGCGCTCTGAGCAGTGCTACAGGGACGTATCGGACCTGAAGGTAAAACTCAGTGGGTGGCTGGCCCAGCCGGGACAGCGGGTATGTGGGGCCTGGCGTTGGGGTGGGTGGAGGTGGGGGCGGCCTTGAGGGTTGAATGGCCTGTGTGTGGTGTGCCGAGAGATAAGGGCACAGATGCTCAGCGGGAAGGTATGTTCCTCTTTGATTTCTGCCTCCTTCTTGTTTGGGGTTTCTGGAAAGAAGGCCTCCCAGCCTAAGTAACAGCAGGTGTGGTTATTCATCTTGCCACCGGCTGCTGGCTGTCTGGATTCATGTTGCTCCCCAAATCCAGTTGTTTAACTCAAACAAAAGCCTTAACCGAGGGCCTTCTCTGAGCCCAGTGCCCCAGAAGTGGATATGAATAACTTAATTCCTGCTTTCTATTCACATATGGCTTCAAGAAGCAGGTGCACAGGTAAGGAAATGAGGGTTAAAAAAAAAAAAAAAAGAAAATCAGACCAGACGCTGATGGATCGCTGTGGGCGGGGAAAAGGGACTGTGACAGAAGAGCCTTTTTAAGTGGTCACTGGGTACCAGACACAGTGATGGGGCCTAACAGGAAAAACACAAGGAGGGTATCCATCATCTCTCACCCCAGGTGATGCCACACCACAAGCTGTTCTGACAGTGGGTTACATCAGCAGCCATAGATGTGGCTGGTGAGGCTGCAGGTTGGCTGTTCGTGGTCTGATTCCTCTAGTCCAACCGCACAGCGTTGGCTTCAGATCGATGACTGGTCACTGGGGCACCGGTTCCCCTCCAGTGCTGCCCCCCTTCCTCCTTGTCCAGCCAGAGGCCAAGCTGCTTTTTCTCAGGGCACACAGGTGTGGAAGGGGAAGCTGGACCCCTCAGGAGGAAACCTGGCGTCCTATTGCTAATACCCTATTGGCCAAAGTAAACGTTCAGCTGAGAGTTACTAGGTGGGTCGGTGTTGTCTCCAGTAGGAGAGGTGAAGGGCTGAACTGGGCCATTAAATGACAGATTGGGGACTTGCCCCAGGCCCGTCTGACACCAAGTATGTTTGCCTCTCAGCCTATATCAGAGGGGAAGCAGGTACCTGCATGCAGAGAGAATTTATTTCAAGTTTATACCCATTGCCCATGTGAGCTGTTGTAGGCATAATTACAAATTTTAAATTTTTGCTTTCCTTTTTTGCAGTCTTTTATAATTTTTGCGTCTTTTATAATTGCTTTCTGTCTGGTCCACATGTGCATATTCTCTCTCTCTTTCTCTCTCTCTCAGTGTTAGAAATTAGAATTTCCAAACAATCATTCCTAAATAATAGCAATTACATATAATTTGTGGATTTATAAAAGATTGTACCTAAAATGTCAGACAATGACATCATGTAAGTCAGGAGGGAAGTGCTTAGAATTAAAATAGTCTGATACCATTGTTCTGTTGAGGGGTAGAGGAGCAGTTAACTTCAGCCTGTAGCTAAGTATGTGTGCCAACATTCAAGGTAAAAGATATGTAACTTGTAGATCTCTAGCAGGTAGGGTGATAAATGGAATAAAAAACTAAAACAAACCACCAAAATCGCTCAATTGTTAAAAAAAGAGAAATAAGGACAGAAAAGTAAAAAAAAAAAAAAAAAAAAAAAGAAAGCTTAGGAGAATAGAAAGCCAGAGATCAAGGTGATCAAAATAAGTCCAAATATACCAATGACCAAATAAACTCATTTTGGCAATGAAAAGACAGGCTTAGATTGAATAGGCCGTGTTCTCCAACAGATGCTGTTTACTAGAGACATACCATGCAAAAACCTGAGAAGGATGACAGCAAAATTGTGGGGAAAGGTCCCAGCAAATATCACCCAAAAGAAAATGGAGTAACTGCCTTGATCAGGCAACGCTTTGATAGATATGAGATGATCACAACGCGAAATGTTCACCAAGAAGGTATAAGAACTTAAATGTTCAGACATTTCATTCATGACATAGACACACAGACTTCAATAAAACACCAAAACAAAATTGACAAATCCACTATCCTAGTAGACTGTTTTAACAAATCCTTTTCAAATATTGAAAGAGCAAACCAAAAAATGTTTTTAAAGTACTAAAGATTAACCCAGCAAGGTTTAAAATTCTTGATTTATTGGGCAACTAGTGGACCCAGTACCTATCCAAATACACATTTTTCCCAAGTTCACGTGGGACATTTGTTTAAAAGTAATCATGTACTAGAGCATAAAGCAAATCTCAGTACACCCTGAACACAGTATACTTGAGAAGAAAGCAGTAACATTGGGTTTTTCTAAATTGTATTGAAGTTACATTGCTTTATAGCATTATGTAAGTTGTTTCAGGTGTGAGCGATTACATAGTAACATCTGTAAAAAGTGCCTTCTGCTCTCCACTAAAATTCTAATTCCATCCTTCACCATAAATTGACTAAAATTGAGAACACACTTCTAAATTACTCACAGTAATTTAAACAGAAATCATAATTGAAATTGAAACCTACTTAGACCTGAATGAAAATAAAAATGATACATGTCAAAATTAGTGGGATGAAATAAACATGTTGGGAAATTTATAACCTTAACTTTTCTATTAAAAAAGAAGAAAGGCTGAAAATTAATAAGCCAACCTGATCACTTCAAATCATATGTAAAGAACATTAGAGTAAAATCAGTCATAAAAGGCAGGACATGAAAAAGACTGGAAAAAAGGTTGATCAACAAATTATTCAACAACATCAAAAGTTGTTTCTTTGAAAGATAAGATAGACAAAGCAATGGCAGAACTCACTGAAAAAAAAAAAAAGCCAGAGAACTCATCAATAAAGGAATAGGAAGACATAAATGCAGATTTATTTATTCACTCTCTAAATGTTTTTGAGCCAAGTATTCGTTGGAGTTCTAAGAATACAGAAAAAAAAAAAAAAGCAAACAAAAGTCTCTCACTTCGCAGAGTTTTAGATCCAATAGATAAAGCAAATTGTAGGAGATAATAAGGGAATACTGTGAACAAAATTACACTAATAAATTTAAAAACTTATAGGAAATGAACAAACTCCTAGAAGTATACTGTTTATCCAAAGTCACTTAGGGGAGAAAAATGTAAATCCTGGTAATCTTCTAGCTCTAAACCTTCTTATAATGAAAACAGAATCCAGAGATATCAGTTGAGATAAGTTCCACCAAAGTTGTTAATTGAGATACTACCAAGTTGCAACAAACTTGTCCAGAGTGTAGAAAAAGAGGAATACTTTTAACCCTTTGTAAGGCCAGAAGTCCTTGCTAGCAAAATCAGATAAAGAAAGTACCCAAAAAGAAAATCACAGGCCTGTCTAACCCATGCATAGACACGTGCAAAGTCTTAAGCAAAATATTAGCAAACTGAACCTAGCCACCTGTAAAATAGGTGGCCAATTTGACTTTACCACAGGAAAAAGGAGAATTATTTCACTTTGAAAAATCTACAGGTGGCATTCAGTATAATACTAGATTGAAGGGTAAAACTCCTTCTAACCATATAAATCGATGCAGAAAAGTGATTTGATAAAATCAAATATTCATTCATGGAAGCAACTCTTTTCTCTAGTGTTGGGAAAAAGCTTAGTGATGCAAGCATTTGTTAACACAAAAGAACATAGAGCCCAGGTACACCCACACATTTATGGAAATTTGACATATGAAGATATTACTGGCCACTGGAGAAAGGATGGGATTGTTGATAAAAGGTACCCATTATCCACGTGGGAAAGGAAGCAGACGATTCTGAAGAATGAGGGACTTAAAACTCATTTTACATCAGATTATAAGAAAGGCCAGACTATACTTTTAGATGCAATAGATAAAATAAAATTGCAGGAGATAAGAGAACACTGTGAGCAAAATTTACACAAAATGATATTTTTTAAGATTTTATTTAGGCATACAGAACTGGGGGTACAGGCCAAAGATGCAGGGGCTGTGAGAGAATTCACTAGAGAGAGAGTGGAGAGCAGAATAGGCAGACTGATGAAGTACACTGCTGAGGGGAGCAGTGGGTGGTCAGAAGAGGCCATGCCATGTGGGTCACTTCCAGGGTCGGGGCTTGAACTCTCACTGAGGCGGCTGTGGCCAGCTTTGCAGTGCTGCGCTCCAACCCACTGCACCACAGGGAGGGCCCACAAAATGAATTTTTAAAAATTAGGAAACTGGCCCATGACCTCAGAATAAGGAAGTCATTCATCAGGACTCTACAAGCTGCTGTCGTGAATGAAAGGACCAATAAATTCAACCCCACTGAAAGTACTAATTCCATCAAAGAGGCATCATAAAAAACAAAAGACCTTTTCAACACCCATCACTGACAAAGGACTAGTAAGGTCTCTTGCCAATTAAAAAGGAAAAATAAGTCAAAGATAACGTGGTTTCACTGAATGACCAAGAAAATGACCAATTGACACTTGAAAAGATATGCAGCCTATTTTTTTAAGTGAAAATTAAGCCAAGAAATTGTTGCCAAGTCACCCAACGGGAAGAACAGGACTCTGTAGTCTCAGGTAACCCCAAGGAACCCCCTGTCGTGCTGGTGGCAGTGAGGACAGGTGCAAGCCTACCGGGAACCCACATCAGCCTCCGGTAAAACTGAGAGGGATGACACATCTGACAGAGGCAGGTCCAAACAGAACGGGTGTCTCTGGTGACGCTGTAGGTTTAGCTGATGGGGGCAGAGGATGACAGAGTGACACACGGGCCTTTAGCTTGTCCTCATTGGCATTTCTTGACCCGGAAGGCACATGGGAGACTAACCCACATACAAGCCTTTCCTTTCCCATATCAAAAATTAAAATGTGAACTTTCGCCCAAATCAGTGCAACCCAAAACCTTGGCAGGCTTAAAAAGGCAGACAGTTCCGACACAGGCTTCGGCATGAAGGAACCTTGAATACGTGCGAGTGATACAAGCCAGAGGAAGAAGGACAAAGGGATGATGTTCCTAGTGGAAGCACATAAAACAGCCCAACTCACGGAGCAGAAGTGACAGTGGTGATCACCAGGAGCTGGGG